ACGGCTTCCATGACACGTATGAGTTCTAGAACTGACTAGAGTTCTAGTCATGGTTCCATTGTGTTTCTCTAATAATAACACTGATTGTGTACATTACTGTGTTTATGTATGGTGTTGTTTTTTCTCAGCAAATCATATGAAAAGACACAAACCAGCAATGAATTGCTTTTCACCAGTATTGCCTGTAGGCCTGTCAGACTATGTAGCCAAAGTCTGACAGGCCTTTATCTTAATCCTCTGTGCCTCTATGCCACCTTAGCTACAATGCTAATGTTGCTGCCAGTAACTATGATAACGTTTATGAGACTTTTTGCTACAAACCAAGCAGCTGCATTTGCATGCGGATATTTTGCCAAGATAATATCTTTTATGATATGAGGCCAATGTGTTAGTGCACAGTTCTGGAAACTAAGAAACACAAGTAATGAGTTTTTCGTCCAACTGTTAATTCAAGCAGTGGTCAATGCCCAGAAAGGCCAAATAGACCTTAGACAGTAGAAAATAGATATCACCAGCCTTAATCAATATTCACAGTAAGTCACTGTGCCCTGCCAAGAAATGTAGTTCTCACTTTGTGCTTCAGCAAATACAATAATGAACTGATTTTTCCTTAGTTTTTTTGAAACTGGTCAAACATACAAGAATGTCTTTAGCAGTAAGAGGACACTTGAAATGCCAACATGAAGCTACATAATGAAAATGAAATGTGTGGCTCATATAAGAAGCTTAAACTTAATTGTATGGATTTTGGAAGTAAAGGAACTGGAAATATTCGAATGATGTTGCATAGTTTTAGTAACAATTCCGGTGAATTCTGAAATTTTGCTGCAGTCTCAGTCTAAGAAAAGGCTTTTAAAGAAAATCAAATGGTCAGTGTTTGAACAATCTGGTAAAATGTATAATTTTACAAATAAAACACAAGACTCAGTGTCACAGTACAACCTGCAATTGCTGCACACTTACAAAGAGTGTATTTTTTAATTCAGCATACAGTTTGAGCATCACAGTTGAAGAATAGCCCTCAGAAATAAATCATTTCATAAATCAAATCATTTCTTTGTCAGAACTCGTATCTGTTGAATAGCTCCATTTAAACTTGAAACATTAATCTTGGAAAGGCTGAGACGATGTCATGGGAATATTAACAATGTCAGATCGTTTGATGTTAAGGGTTTTAGAGGCTAGATTTTTCCTTGTCTTCTGTGGACATCATTTTGCACTTTAAATATAAAACCCTTTGATGTTGTCTTTGTCCGGGAGTGGCATTGGTCACCAGATGTAATTTAAAAAAGGAGAAAAACATATTTCCAACATAAATGACATAACAGCAAACTGCCCTCAGCTGTCGTAGTCACCATTTCTGCTTCTTATCGGAAAGAAATAGGTGAGGAACAGCCTGAGGCTCATCCCCATTCTGTCTGCATATTAATTCACAAGACACTCCCGAGGTGTGGACAATATGAAATACTGATCTCTTCCTTAATTGGTTTGTTATTCCTCCTCCCCTAATTACTTTCTAAGCATTCTCGAGATAAATTGGGAAAGGGTCAGGAAAGGACGTAAGCCCTTTTTTTTTTTTTCTATAACCACAACATGTATACAAGAAAGGCATTTTAACATACAATGTATCCTTCTACTTGTGTCCTCAAGTAGGCGTCATTAGACTGGCATGGCTTAGAAAGACATTTCATTCACATGTCACACCACTGGGCAAACTGGAAATGATTCAGCATTGCTGGGTGATGACATAGGCATGCAACGCAAACAGTTCTTGCTCAAGTGTACAGTCAGTCGTACGACACGAATATTTGTAGCAACAATGGATCTTTCCAAATTATTATTTAATTACTTCTTTAGGATCATGCATATTGATTCAGAACATCATCCTCATGATCTTCACTTGAGCGCCGTAGCTTCTAGTCATCTTAGATTGGAAGATAATTATTAAAAAACAGCATTCTTACAGAAGTCTATATACAGTAACTGTGCAAATTTCACAATTTTTGCACGACACGCCTTGTACTGTCAACATTTGATCGCTCGAGCTCAGGAGCTTGTATCGTGACAATGTCTTTCTTTAGCGTCATACAGGCAGTATGAGGAAATATGTTCCAGTAAAACCTCTGCCTTTTGTTTCCTTTTACAAACAGCTTACCAGCTGTAAATACAATACACAATGAATGACATCATAAACCACGCTCTGTGGAAACTGCACATCATTGATTACACACCGATCGAATCGTTTTTACATAGAATGCGAGTCATGGTGAATGAGATTTTACAGTCATCAAATAATCACTTTAAGCTTCTCTAAACGTTTATATCGAGTAAACTAGTAGATCAACTGATCTATAGGAACTGCCCACAGCCCTGGAAAAATACTGTCAGTTATCTAAAGTGGTCAATACACGGTGCAAACCAACACGTAGTGAAAATAACCGTCTCAAATCTAACGGTCAGTCACTGCAGGGGCAGTTTGGTGAATGCAGAGGCTGGCCTCCAGGTAGACGCAGGATGGTCACTTTCACCTGAAACGAGAAATAGTTTACCGGTCAGAGGACTCGTCACACATTCACCGTCACATCCCGGATGCTGAGTTGGTGTTTTGTGTGCTGCCACAGTACCGTACCTCATTTTTGAGACACTTGCTCATGTACATGTTGAACTCCTCCACGCTGCCGGTGTGCAGGTCATTAACTGCCAGAATTTGGTCTCCTTTGTGAAACAGGCACACCGTCTGTGGCTGGCCTGTCCACACAGACACACTGTGACACACACACAATCACACATTCTGGTTTTTAGTTTCATCCAAACAGTATTTGACATGTGCTTTTCATTTTTTGTACATCCATGTCATGGCCAAATACTTCCATATTTTCCTTCTATTGGAACTAACAGGCACACTTTCCAGCTGTGGGCCCCTATAATCAGCACCACCTTGCATTTAATATCTGAGGCCACTGAATGTCTATTGAAAATGTAAATGTATTTGTCATAATCTGCACGGCTTCTCTACACAAGAGACGTTTCAGCCGCGTCTATTTCTCACACGTCTGATGAAATATATTATATGGTCACGTTTCACTTGCTGTGAAACATTACCGGTGTCATCGAGACCCGAAGCAGATTTTCATGCTTCGAATCTAGTTTCTTCTTTTTTACGTGCGCGTTGCATCCACTGGTTTTTCCCTCTGGCCTCTTGTTCATGTTTCAGGTCTGCCATGCCTCTCTCTGTGTCTGATAATCCACACCTGGCTCTCAATCAACAATCAGCAGAGCTGTATATGTACTCCCAGAATCAGTGTTCCTGACCTTTTTGGCTCTTGCTCTGTCTGTTGCTGTGTTAAGATGATTAAACTGTGTTTTCTTTGAAAGCACCAGCTCTGCTAATTCCTCCATCCTTTGTCTTTGTTAGTCTTGGTGACTTTTAATAAGCGAGCCTTGTAGGGATTCTTTGCTATTTATTTCACTAATTTTCACCTGTTTTGTGGCTAGTTGGGGAGATAAATATTGCTTTTTTGTTTGATTCAGTAGAATAATGGAGTTTTTATTTTCTAGTGGGCGTGGCTTCTGTTGTTTGTTATTTTGGCCTTGGAGACCCTGACGTCTTATTTGCTTCTGCTTCTGTTTTTCCCTGTTAATCATCTTCATATAAATAAACATCACTCATTGGTACACTTAAAGTGCTTCAGCAGCCCTTTCTTGCTTTGTTAGTGCCATCTTGTTATTCAACATCCTGAGAATTTGGATTTTGTGCGATTAATGCCAAGAGCAGTTACTAGATCTTAGTATAAATACATGCCCACATTTTCACACAATACAGCTAAATGCTCTGACTCATCTCCCACAAATGAATAGAGAGATCCTGCCGTGCAGCATTAAGTCTGTCTCACATTTCTCAAGTGGAAATGTGAGGACGTGCAGTATCTTGTTTTCAAACAATTGAAATGCTTGATTTGTGGGATGACAGCAGGGAATGTTAAAACGCATCTGAGGGTTTTCATTAATATTAATGAATAAAAATGTGTTCAGGATCATTTGTGAAGCCTTTCCACATATCTCAATCAAAGCAGTCCAATATCTGAGACTGGAATGTTTTTATATACTGCAATGAAGTAAGTGTTCCTATTTCAAACTTACCATGGTTTCCCATCCACTTCTGTTAGTGTAAGGTATTTTATCAAATCTGCCTGCCGGACAAGAAGGTCTCTCTCCCCGATGGTGAAGGTGTCAAGGCTTGAAAGAAAAAGAAAAGAAAAGCTTTATTAAGGGTATTGTGTCACTTTGCTGTAGATAAAAACCAAAATTTCAATTCAAAATGTCAATTGAACTTGAAAGGTTTTCCTGAAGTTATTGTTTGAGTTGCATATTCATTTTAGTAAATCTTTAGTAAAGTGCTAGATGTCGGTAACTCCATGGATCATAGGTGCAAGAAACATTGGTCAGCCTATGATGTGGTGAACAAGAACAAATTAGAAACCTGAGTGTCTGTACAGATATGGACTTTTAATTTCCTTTGAACAGCTCTTTAAAATTCTGCGGGAAAGTCCCCTGAGTTACTAGTGTTTAACGAGCACTGCTTATTATGATCTAACTATCATCAAACCTTCAGAAACCACTCTAACCCGTCCAGCAACATGTCAACGCTGGTCTCAGCATTCCTCTCCGGTTTCTCATTTAACCGAGTCACCTTTTTCTTTGCTGTAACCATTACAAAGCTGTTTTTGACTTTCTGATCAGCTAAAGCACAGACGGTGCCTCAGTCTGTGTTTCAAATGTGTCTTAGTAGTATTAAAAGTAAAGCAACTATTGAATGAGTACTGATGATAACTCTATGCTTCAGTTGATCATCACACCCCACATAAAATGTCCCTATTTGCAGTGTATTCTTACTACAAGAGAGGTGATAGCGCCCACTTGGTGGTTACTTCTTTGGATTCAAGGTCAATCTCACCTTTCAGTGGAGCTATATTTATCCAGTGTCTGCACATTTTGTCCCTCCAGCATTTCTACAGGAGAGATGGCATCGTTGTCACTGGAGCTGCTGTCTGACGTCAGATGCCTTCCGCCTCTGCAAAAGCAAGTCACAGCATGATGGGATTATAACATCAGATATTGGTGTGTGTGTTACATTCAGTTACCAGTCGCTGATGAACTCTTGGTTAACATCTAACAAAAGTCTCGTAAGACAGCTTGGAGAGACAGTGGGAATAAACCACAACAAGGCTTTCAACGAAGCAGGAACCACGGCCAGCGCTCTATGCTGAGTATGAAATAACATCTGAATCTGCATGCACAATGGAGGGGAGCTTCACAGGCAGACAGCATAAGAACAGATTTCGGCGCTGTATTAGAAGCCTTGGATGGGCCGAAGTCCACATTAGTCCTTGTGGCAGAAAATAACGACAATTAAAGACGAAGAAATTGTTTGATGATGGGTGAAAGATCCTCGCACACTCCAAAAACCAAAAGAGGGTTCTCTCAGTTATACAAAAAGAGCACCAGATGTCTCGAGATTTATTAAAATAGTTCATAAAAGCAGCACGAGAAAAGCAAATCATTCGCAAATCGCTGTAGAGGCGCGACAGAAATTCAAATTAAGAGACACTTCAGAAAGGAGTCCTTTAACCCATATGCCCATTGTCGTAGAGAGGATGTTCTTCAGTGTGGCAGCACAGCAGGTGGTGAAATGCACAAAAATCACACAGTTTTGTATTATAGCAGATTTAGGAAAACAAACAGCAGGAAAGAGTACTTTCATACAGGGGATGATGGCATAAAACAGCTAGATGAGGCACAATGTGTACATGCTTTTAATTGGTTGCATGTTTTGGTTTTGGTAAACAAGCAATCAAATCTGATTGGCTAAAAACCTGCCCTCCTTGAGATGCTGTGGGAAACAGAAGGTCTGACAGTCTGACTAAACTATTTTTGAAATGATTACTTTTCCAGATGTAAAGTTAGATTTTCATGGCTCAATTGTATTTAAATTTGCATCATCAGTGCCACCTTGTTCAGGTGAAACCTCTTACACGAGATTAAAAGATATGTATCAAGCACACAAGTTGCCAAACAGGCTCTGCGGTTTTGCCTTTCTTAGATTCTTGACAGGTCCTTGAGTGTCAAGAGTTCTGTGCTGTAAAAGGAATGCCCTCATTGTTGTCAGTTTAGGTATTTGAGCCAATGAGGTCGCATTTATCTCTGATGACTGAGCTATTTACGTATCTAGGGCACTGACAAAACATGTTACACAAAGAGCATAGGGCACTGAAGACAAGGTGAAAAGTCAGAAATACACACGGCCCACAAAAAAAATAGAAAGCAACCTTGGAATTAGTCTCAGCTCTACCTGTCCTCAGCTGCTGTCTCCTCGTCGAATGAAGGCCCTGGGGAAAGCTGTATCCTCAGCTTGTCAAAGACTTCAGTGACAGACCTCATCAGGCTGCCTGTGGTAACCTTCTCAACGTCAAGGTCCCTAGAAACATTTGGCACAGTGATCTGCTTTCAGTCTCAACAATAATAAACAATTATCATCATTATTAGGAAACCTGATTTGTTTTTTTAGAGATCTTTCTGTAAATCAAACTTACGCTGCCTGTGCCACTCGTACGTTCTGTCTAATTTCGACCATTGATTCATATCTGCAAGGGACAGATATTCAAAACAACAGACAAATAATATTAGATACTGTAGAACTCAAGGTCACAATTTCAGCTTGTGTCACTTGAACAAAAGTGAACAAAGTAGAACTAGTGAGGATGAATGGGATTTTTTTTGTGCATTTATAACTGGCAATAACAACATGTATCGGATCAATACACTGTTCCATATACAATAATCAACACTCACACCATGTCCAAGCTCCTGCGACGGGTTGAGATCTTTTTCTCTTGTGTTAAGTAGGCTCTCGGATAGTCATAGATTGGATTCACAGGCTCTGATAAAGGCCTTTTGGCATAATCTTCACCCTGCTGGCCAATCACAAATGACATACTGTAGGCAACCAAGAGATCACCTCCAATTCTCCATCACCCAATCTGACAACTCTTAAAGAAATCATCCCTTGAATTAGATTTGTGTTCACTAATTACGATCAAGTTAAGATATCGCACCTCTGATTTTTCAGAGTCGGTATTGAAAGCATTTGAGGACGGATCAGACAGCGACCGAAGTTTCAACTCTGCCTGTGAAAGAAAACACACATTAAAGCAGCTAAAGGAAAAATTATGAGACAACCCCGGAGGAAATATATATATATGTATATGTGTTGCTGTCAGCCCATTCATCTCAGTGTCCCCAGGTCAGATGCATTGGTTATACGATTAAGCTATACTCAATTATAGACGGGTCAGGTAACAGTGAGTCAATAAAGACCTGTATTTGAGATATTTTGGGAGAATTTCACTGAAATTGATCCACATTTTCGATAAGAACACTGACAGCACCAGCCATAAGTTCACCTGGGTTGATATTTAAGTTGTGTTAATAATTCTTACATTTTGTGAGAATCTCTGGCACTAAACTGCTGAATACACCCAGAATGGAATGTTCTTTTGAGTTAGAGCCCTGTTGGTATCTTTACTCTGATGGCTAAATGTACAGGTGGTGTCAACATTCTATAGACATGGAGTGCCTGGGCGGAGTGTTTAGAGCGTATGCCATATAACCGGAACGTCGCGGTCTTGGAACATGTGTAACATGTCACACCCCTCTCTCTCTCTCTCTCTCTCTCTCTCTTCTCCTCTTCTACAGTGTCCTCTGTCAAATAAGGGTGAAAATGCCCCTAAAAAATATTTGAAATTATGTAAACTAACACACCAAATAGATTCACACAAAGGAATGCCATTGACTGATGTCGTTTGTACCAGACCGACAGTATGCACGCATTTAGAACGTTTAGCCAAATCGACGCAAGGCATGCAACATTGTGGACCGACCTCAACAGGCACAGCTGCAGATTTCTATTTCTGCGAAGGGTGGTTTGAAAAAACCTCTTAAAACAGGAAGAAAAGTGTAATTCCAAAAGTCAAATAGAAAGTGGATCGGTGGTTGCTTGTTGCATTCGCCAGGGACACTGAGGGGATTCAGACTGAGCAAGTGTTGTGACAATGGAGGAAGAGGTGGATAGCAGGACATAAAGGGTGAAAAGAAAGATAAAAGCAACTTATCGGATGACAAAACTTGTTAGCATTCATTTGAGCCGGGTGACAACAAGAAATGTGAAAAAACATGAACCTAATTAAAAGAAATAGTTCAACATTTTGTAAAATATGTTTATTTGCTTTTTTTTCCAAAGAGAAGATAGATATCACTCTCATATGAGCTGGAGCCAGCAATCTGTTAGCTTAGCTTAGTTTAGCAGAAGGACTAGACTGGTTCTGTTCAAAGGTTCACAGTCTGCCTCCCATGTCATATATCATATGTTTGTTTACATTGTTTTACAGGAAGTATTTCTTATCCGGGACCACTGACTTCCTGGAGTGTCCTCTGGTTGTCTTTGCAACTGTTCCCAGCCATGAAGTAGTTCAGCACAAACTTCACTGTAAAAAAACCTTTGTGTTTGTTTGTACTGTTTAACCAACAAGATAATAGAGCTGGTAGGTGTTTTTTTTTTTTAAACCTTTGGTCACAGCCGGGCGAGCTATTCCCTGTTTCCATTCTTAATGCTAAGCTGTGCTAGCTGGCTGTTAGTAGCTATTGTAATTATATGAGAGTGCCATCGATCTTCTCACCTATAACTGCCTATAACAAAATAACTAAACGTATTTTCCAAAATATTGAACAATTCCTTTAAATGTGGTTCGTCCTTTAAATATTTACCTCAATTGTTGGCTGCTCATTAGATATTTCCTTTTGTAGAAAAACAAACAAACATGACAGATAAAAACAAATGCAGTGTAGAGACTCTTGGTCTCAATAAGCTGTTACAAAACATGACAAAGAACTAAAATCTCAATGTACCTCTGAACTCATACATTTATGTGGCCGGTTTTTCAGGGCTTCAAACAGGTCGGAGAACCAGCCGTCCACTTCCTCACTAAAAGCAAGCGGGGCAAATGAAACACTTAACATCATTTTTGAAATTATGGCTGTTACGTTTATTTTAAAATTCAATTCCGAAATCAAATATAGAGTAGAAACAGTGACATTTAAGCAGCAAATAGGTGTGAGCAGAATGGAAGGCAAAGTCATTATCGTCTGATAGACAATTACTAAACAGAAAAGCAACATCATCATTTATTTTTGATTGTTTGAACTCCCAAAATAGTCGATGCTGTGAAGAGCATGGGGGGGAAGTGTTTTACGAGGAGCTGTGAAAGTGTCAGCGGGGGCCTTGCGAGGAGAACTGGCCGACCCAGCTGTGTGGCCTGAATCCTGGTGACCTTTTAAATGAATGCAATCCATGTATCTGGAACAATTTATCTGTCATGAAAATCCCAAACCAAACTCTTAAAAAATGTATCCTGATTTAATTGGCTGCATTTGTGCACAATCCAAAGCGATTTGGTTGGAACAAAAGGTTGTTTTTTTAAATACCCAGACAAACTGTGATCAAACATTCCAGGCTATTGATGACAGGGTTTTTAATTAAGATTTGAAATTAAAGTGGAAGTAAAAAATTCCATCTCAGTGCTTTATTATCCCATGTAAAAAAAAAACAGCTGACTGACCTGTTCTCACCAACGAGGAAGTAGTCCCGCTCAGCTGCCCTGATGTAGAGCACACAGGATGGAGAGCACTTGAGGTTCTTCTGGACCCAACTCCATCTCTGGTGGTTTTCAGGGCTCACATACAGCAGTGAGATGCTGACAGAGGGACACAAATGACACAAATGTTGAAAAAAAAAAAAAAATGTAATGCTGGATCTTCTCTCAAAAACAAAGCTGGTTCAACTGCATTTGAGCTCTATTAATTAAATACGGTTAATTAGTGAATTTGTGAGAACATACTGTGATAATTCAATCCCTCCAAGGGGCCTGTCCTTGTCCTCTGGACTCCTGAAATACTTCAGTAGGTACTGTTGCTCGCTGACTTTGAACAGCACAAAATACCGCTTCTTCCATGATTTCTGCAGGAGAAACATGATTAAAAAAAGAAAAGAAATGTAATAAAACACACACACACACACACACACACACATACACGTAACTAGCTGCAAATCATCCATCATGCCAACTCTGTTACCTCTGTCTTCAACCGTTTTTGGGGAGGAGACTTGAACAGGTATCCAGATCTTATTTCCGTCGTACCTCCGATTGGTTTGTAGAACACCGCATTTCCGCCTAAGGTCAAAAGAAAAGCCAGATGTTTTCGGATCAATATGTTGAAATCGTTTATTTGTTTACAGAAATATATATATATTTTTTCTTTTCTCTTTTTTTTCTATAGTCATTCCACAAACATACACACACATGACAAACCCAATAAATCTCATAACACAGTTCCCCAGCTAACCCCTTGATCTATTGTGTGTGGTGGCTTGTTGATGAAAATATACCCCTTATTACTACATAACCTTAATCGACACCCCTCACTCACCCATTAACCGAATCACACACAAGATGGACACACATGCACACACACGCACACACACACACACACACACACACACACACACACATCTATATACATTTTTGCTGGACCTCCGTTTCTCACTCTTACACTCATCAGTCTAAACCAGTTATTCTCCTCAGTTTGCTTTTGTCCCTGTCTTACTTTGAATAATTTATTGGATCGTATTCATGTACTTGTCTTCACTTGTACTCACTTTTCTACACAATAATACAAAAAAAACATTAATACATTAGCACATTCCAGGTTTTGTGATTTGAAAAGATCAGCTGTAAAAACTGTTTTTGTTTTGTAAGCAGTACCAAAAATTCAAGTAAATAACTACACTTATCACCTAAATCAAACCACAAAGTAGATTACCTGTACCGGCGCTCTTCTGGCCCTTATGCATTGTGACACCACACCTAAACAAAAACAACACAGGAATGTATCGGTCTCTGTCACCTCGAATCAGAGAATGAACAGAGCTCTACCCAGGAAACAGAGGCAACGTTAAGGTTTATGTTCATTCTTATTTTTGATAGATATTTTCCAGTAAAGGTAAATCTGCCGTTATTGAAAACAAAAACAAAGTCTAAGTATCTCAGGCCTTTGTTAACTTTTACACAATTCAGCACTCACTTTTCGAAGACGGAATCAAACATGTGTTGGCAAGTGGACGCATATTCAATTTTGTATCACATCACAAAGCAGTACGGTAGGAAAGACATCATTTTAACACATGACTCACTATATACGCTGGCTCTAACAGTAAAAACAAAACAAAACACAATATTGTTATTCTTACCTGTGGAGCACCTTGAGAGATACTGCTCACCTCGCTCTCTCAGTACCTTTCCAGTAGATAGTAAACATATACTCATGCGAGGAACTGGAGTTTCTGGTTCCTGGAGTTGCTGTTAAGGTCTACCTGCGCTGTTTAGCTGTAGAATTCCATGCGGTGAAATGTCTTTGTGAAGAAAGACAATGACCATTTAAGGCTCCACATTAAAGAGCTCTGGAGAATAAAGCAAAGTTCGATGCCAACTATTGACACGGATGCTTTATAGGTTGATATCTCATGAAGACTAATGAGCGTAGCAGGGACAGGGACTTAAATCTTACCCAACAACAGGTGACATTTGTAGGGTAATTTTGTTCAGTGGGTTGTTCCAATTCACGAATACGTCAGATTTAAGGAAGTCAGATAGTTATGTGGCCAACTATAGTCCTGTATGTTTTTTTTAAAGCATCTACAAATAACAGTTTATGAAGACGCCAAATCATCACTTCATGAATTGTAGATGTGTTTGTCTCGATTGTATTCATTAAAATATGTGACAGTGGTCACAAGTGAAAGCGGCATCCACTTTTACAAACTTTTTTTCTTTTTTAAATATGGGTAACACTTTCTTTAACCCTCTTATTTAGCATTCATAAGCACTATATAAACATTTGATAAATGGTTGGAACCCAACATAATGTTGTAAGCAGACACAGATACATTTTAAGTGTTTAGTACAGAATTTACCTCTGCTATACAGACACATTTGAAATTATTACAGCTATATTGTCATTCATAATCAGTTTATACCCAAGCCTTTATTTCTGGTTGGTGAACAAGTAATTAATAAACGCATATATCTGTGTACAACTACATCATAGTGTATTATAAACCATTTATTAAATGTTTACATGGGGGGGTAAAGTATTACCAATCTGTTCCATAGCAAGGCTAATATTCAGAAGTTGGAGCATAAAAACACATGATTTGTTAAAAGATGAATTGGTGCTTTAAAAGAGAAGCAACATTTCTCACTGAAGTTTTTGCAGATCAAATCCAGACAATTAAATGATCTGTTTCAGATTTCAGATAATGAAGCTGAGTCCTTTACATCACAGTCTCAGCGTCTCTCTCTATAGCGGTTGTCTCAGCAATCATTGATTTGGAAATTATCCTGCAAATGGGCATGTTACTTTTTAACAATCAGTCGATGCAGCACTCAGATGGAGACGTTTGGCTCTGCTGTGCCGCGCCTGCATGTGATCTCTCCCCGCTTGCACATATGCAGAGACCATTTGTGCTATGCAAAGGTCACACGGGTCATGGTAAGGATTTTTAACAGGCATTGGCTGAGACTAATGTAACTGGCTCAGGGTGAAGATGCACTTCAGTCACCGCGCCCTTGTGATCAAGCACTATATGTGAATCATCCATGAGATACAAAAGCAAAATCAATCTCCCTTAAACTTCACATACTCCCCCAAATGTGCATCTAGGCCACAAGCACACACACCCACTCACACACACACACACACACACACACACACACACACACACACACACACACACATATACTGTAGGTCAGTGTCATGTTGGTATTAATAGAGTGCTTATGGGCTTCTTTTTTAGTCGGACATGGATAACTCTTCCTCAAGTCGGACAGTTTGCCCTTGCAGCTGCCCTTCTCTGCCTGAATCTTTGTTTCCTCCCTCTTGTCTTCAGAGTTCAGATTCATGTCCTCTCCTTAATAAAACAAGGCACGTGCTTGTAAGAGCACCAGGACAGATATCTCAAGGCCAAAATGTGCTCCCCCCCCCCCCCCCCCCCCCACAACAAAGCCTTCACGTGTGTGACAGGCCTATAAAAACTCTTGTTGTCGTGTTGCCACCAGTCAGTGGAGTTTAATCTGCACTACTACATAGAACATGAGCAGTAAGGTAGGAGGGATGGCCACACATGAAGTAAGCACTTTCACTTTGGTTTCTTTTTGAGAAGAAAAGCTAATGCCACTATTATCGCCCTTTTATCTGCAGTTCTTGATATTTTTATTCTCTTCATGTTATTTGCCCGTCTGTGTTTCAAAGGAGATTCTCCTGAAACATCAGCAGCACCTGCAGAGACAAAGAGATGGCATCGCCTATAGAATGAAGAAGCTGGCAGCTAAGCAGGCGGAGATAACAGTAAGTCTATTATTATATTTTCTACCAGTGTTCTGTTGTGAGTAGAAATACAATATAGTGCAAATTGCTGACATTAGCTGATAATTTATCACCTTAATTCTTAGCCTGAAGGCAAGACCTGCAAAATCATACATGGCAGTCTCTGCACCTGTTAAACTTCGGAGACAAGATACAGTTTGATTGAGGTCCACGCTGTTCCATCAGTGTCACTGTGTGTGTGAGTATTATGTTTCAAAACACCCCACGGGACATATTCCTAAAATCAAGATGTGTGTTGTGTGACCTGAGGAGATGGGAATGCAGCACATTCACTCTCAAGGTTAAATGAGTTCCATCAACAATGGATTATTTATTCACATAAAACTGGCTTATTTTGGTTTTGTGCATTCTGTGGACTCTGCTGTATGAAAACTTATTTTGTAGATATTGTTCCATATGGGTCTATGAGCTAACATACTGTGAGCTGAGCTGATAATTATGTGATAGTAAATTGATTATTATGAGTTTTGGACTGTTGATCAAGCAAAACAAGCTGTTTGAAGACATCAAGTCAGGAAATTGTAAAGGCCGTTTTCTATTATTTTCGGACATTCTTAGACCAATCAATTGATAATAATCGGACTAGAAATGAAAACCATGCAAACCACCCTTGCAGCTCTATTGTGTTCAGAGGTGATTATATCAGTGGTTCACAAAGTTGGGTTTGCTGATCACATACCGTAATATGCTCATACAAATGCATTTTAACTCCCATGGCCCTCTCATTCTTAGAAAAAGACCAACGCAGTGAAGGAGAAAATTAAGAAAAAGTACGCGGACATGAAGCGGGTTCTGGATGAAGATCTTAAGATCACACTGTCCCAGCTGGACACCGAGTACGAGGCCACAGAGAAGTTAGTGGAGGACAGGATAGAGGACTGCTACCACCTCACTCAGGAACTGGACCAGGAACTGTCCAACATTGGCACCCAAGTAAATACACAGAAAATTGAAATTCAGGTTAACACAAGGACAAGTTCAAAGACTTCAGATTTCATGCAATTTATGTTGCTTTTAATCAATTGTACTGTTTGCCTCAAGCTGTTTTGGCAGTAATGATTTCTTCTTTTTAAACCTTCTACAGAATGCAGAAACAGAAAAAGGGTATGTTTACATTTTAGGAAATAACAGCTTGCTACAAATATGAATTTACAAGCACCTAAGCTTGAGCTCAGCAACAGGTAGCAACTCTTTGTTTTGTCTGAAACTAGAATATCTAAGACTCTGAAGCTGACTGACCCCGACATGATTCAGATGGATGATTTGAAGAATGAACAACTACTGAGTCTCACCATCAACCTGCTACTGTTCATCAGATCCCAGGTCCCTGTCACCAAGAAGCTGTTTCAGACCTGTGAGTTCACCCCAAAAAAACAGGTAGATTGACATGTGAGGGAGTCTTTCTCCTGGCTATGTCAAAGGTTACAATTTCTGCTAATTAGTATACGCTGTTTGTGTTGATTGTGGACTTGTGGGGAGAAGACACTGAATCTTCCTGATGTCTGTTACACAGATGCAGCAGACGTTGTCCTTGAAGCTGAAACTGCCCACCCAAAGCTGATCATCTCTCCCAAAGGCGACTCAGTCACCTACACGGACATGTCCCAGAGACCCCCACCCGCTTTGACACCACCCTCAATGTAATCAGCAAGCAAGGCTTCAGTGACGGCCGCCAGTACTGGGAGGTGGATGTGAGTGGGAAGACCTACTGGGAGCTGGGGCTCACCTACCCGAGCATTCCGCGCAAGGGCCAAGAGGAGGACTCCTGGCTGGGCCGAGGCAAAGAGTCTTGGTGTGTGGAATACTTTAATGGAAACTACACAGCCTGGCATGGTGGTGTCCAGCATGAGCTGCCTCTGCTGGCAGGAAAGCAGTTCACTCGTATCGGGGTGTACTGCAGCTTCCCCGGGGGTTTGGTGTGCTTTCTTGGGGCTGATACTGTGACCCCCCTCCACTGCTTCTGCGCTGGGACCTTCACTGACACCCTACATCAAGCATTGTGTCCCGGTCATGACAACGAAGGCACAAACTGGAAGTCCCTCAAGATCTGCGATGCCTCTCGATCAGCTCCTGTCCTCTGAGGTGGAGCAGGAATGCCTCAGGGGCACAGATGGACAGGAATGTGTTGCGCTGTGGGACATGTGCATCAGTTGCCTGATCTGACATTCTTAACTTGTGAAACCAGATCACCTGTCAGTACTGTTCGTGTCAGGCAAGTCTAAATTTGCCTGAAGGAATTTTTAAAGGATATCTCTATTTTTCACATTTTTTCTTAATACAGTAGTAGACACACCAAGGCTAACATGAAATTAGAGCTGCTGTGCATACTGCGAAGCGTTTATTTTTAAAAGCTTTTTTTAATGATGAATCAGGGGAATTGCAAAAGACAGAAGTTGAGTTGGCAAAGAAAGTCTAATTAAGAAATAGTAATACTTTGGTAAGATAGATCTGCTTTTGGATAGCCAATTAACCATTAAATAGCAAATTGTACTTCAAGGTTAATGCTGGTGATATTCTACACTTTTTTTATGGTCAACAAATCCACTGAAAGTACCAGAACCAACAATGGGTTTTTATCAGATGTTACTCAAACAGTAGTAAATAGTGCATTTGTTGGGGAATCATTTCTTCTGTGGATTAAGGCACATTTGGTATTTCATATTTACAATAGCATTTATTTTGTGGTATTTTTATGACAGCAGGAAAAATAAAAAAATAAAAATAACACATAACAGAAAGCTGAGGATGTTTGTCTACTTATAGTATTGGTTGATGAAAATTACACCTAACAGTGGTTCTAACTTTTTATATGGATTTTTTTTTTAACATAGTTTAAACATCTTCCTTGTTGTGGCCTTTTATTGTGTCTGTGTTTACAGATGTGCAAGAAATATGAAACAAAACTGATTAGAGAATAAATTCTTTATGTTTAATACAATAAAGTGTTTACATAAGCATTCCTCTGTTTTTGAAGTTAATTAAACAAGGTATCGCCCCAAATGAAAAAGAAATTGGGCCTGATTAAACTTTCAATGTAATTCATTCATTCATTTTTCCAAATCTTTTCAAATATATTCCTGAGGACAACAGCATTTAACACCAGAAAGCATTTTAAAATTTTCCCCTTAAAAATATTTTCTCTCCCTCCCTCAATTCCAATCGAAAAAAAACTGATTAAAAATACAAGTGAAAAGGGGAAAATAAAATGACAAATTAAGGCTCTTGGTTAACTTTTCCCCTAAGTTACTGACACATGCAATGGTGTGAATAATGTAAAAACATTGCAGCAACAATGATTGTGTATTGCGGACATGTGGATTGTGTATGCTCAGACTTGTCACCACCAGTAATAGCTGCCTCTGTGATTGACAGACTTTGGCACATTAACACAGCGTATTTGCAGAAACAAACTTTGTGCAAGTTGAAATGACCATCAGCAAATGTCTACGATATAAAACATATTTTACCATAAAACTCCATCATAATAATAAATGTACTAAATTATGCAAAATTGTTTTTAAAAAACATGTACTTTCTTTATGATTTGTGTCTTTCTAAATCAAAAGGTCAATTAAAAGAAAATACAGGAAGACTTTGCTGGGTATCTCTTACCAGAGTGTAGTGTATGTTATGACAATGTACAACACTAATATACAGTGAAATGATGTGGTTTGGGCCCAAGTCCAGCTTCACAATATAATATTTCCCAAATTTATGACACCATTTTTGACAGTTCTCTTTCTATGGTAAAAATCATACCGCATGTATCCTTTTATTTATCAAAGTTAATAAAGAGGAATGTCAGACTTTAAAGATTAAAAAAAGGGAAATTCATAAACTGATTTGTTGGACCAAGACAAATGCGTCTTCACTTCCTTTGGAGTGAACAACAAGCAAGTGAAGTCTTCAACATCAGGCTAATACAATTGGCAAATTGCAAATAATCCTTGCTTCTGTGGGAGTGGACTATATACTATGCAGTTGACCCAAAATCTCATAGAACTAATCACAACACAGCAAAAGATCACACCTTCCTAGCCATACGTATATGACATTCTTTAACATTACAATAACCCACTTCATGGGACATTAAAGAACCTGAGGATGCCAGCATGCTGCTACCAACTTAAAACTTGCTAGGAAGGCTGAGACACTGAGCCTTTGGCAAAAGCATCGTCACATGTTTCTGCTCATTGGAGTGTTGTCTTTTTTTCTGTTATCTCTTTTTATCTAACAACTGACAGCTGAAAACATTGAAACACAGATAGCTGAAAATGATCTGATCCATTTTCCAGATGCTTTTCCCCCTCTTATGCATCAGACAGGGCTTGTAATCAAGGCAGCTCCCTCATCAATTCCTATAGTGATCAAAGGGTTTTAAACACTCGAATCACTTTCCTGGTGGGTATTTATACATAAATACTTTCTATAGGCTTTTAAAACATTCAACTGTCACCTGGTTTCCAATGTATTTTACTGTGTAATGGTGATGTACACTTTACAAATGCTTTTGGCTGCATTTGATCTCTCAGATCAAATGTTAATTATTTCTAAACCCATTTCATGTAATAAATACAAGAGCCATATTTAAGTGGAAGACTCCTGTCCACTCTCTACAGTTCCTTTTCAACATCCATTGCAAATGCTGGAAAATGGAGAGACACACATTCAGATATGATTCCCCAAACCCACAAAAAGTGGCAGCTAATTTTTCCGGGTTGGTGGAACAACATGGATATTTCACATGCCTGTCAAAAGAAGATCAGATCAAATGTGACGCCATTATTCCGAAGAATAACCTGAAGAAGAGGAAGAAGTTTCACCATCAGCACATGAACGCGGAGTGCCACTAATAATATTTTTCTTTCTTACGGAGTGCTTGTTTTCGGGCCCAACTACACATGTAAAATGTCATATGTGCTCCAAATGTGCAGTGTCATGCTGGGCCTGAATCATCCCTGAATGCTTTTAATGCTAAGTTGCTACCTGAAACGGTCGGTCAGTCAGTCAGTCAGTCAGTCAGTCAGTCAGTCAGTCAGTCAGTCAGTCAGTCAGTCAGTCAGAAAGGGCTGGCGGTCAGTTGAAATACAGTTCTTTCGTCAGCATAGAGACCACGCAGGGAATCTGCTTCTTCTCACTGAAGCGTGGGTCTTCAGACCAGGACTCAAAGCTGGTGGCCACCATGTAGTTGACCCGTGTCAGGATCTGCATTATCTCCAGCTGCTTGCCAAACTCGTTGAGGACGTTGCAGAGCGCCTGAACAAACCAGGAGCCGCGCCCAGGGTTCCTCCATGAGTAATAACCTGGAAAATCAACAAGGGTCAGTACTGAAACTAATGTCTGCTCAACCAATACATCCGGCACAGCACTACTTAAACGTGAAACTTTCTTTACCTGGCACAGTAGAGTAAGCAAAGAGGAAATCTGCCTCTACAGGGATCTTATGTCTTGGATTTGCATCTGTCTCCACGGTATCGTTTGGCGGACCCGAATCTGTCTGTATACCGTCATCAAATTCGGACCCCCGGCAAGCCTGGTGAAGTAAATGAAATGACATTTCATTGTGATCCTGAGTAGCTTTCTCAACGATGACCTGGTGAAGCAATTCAAAATTAACTGTTTTTAAAAGCTGAGATGGGGCAAGATTTAACACAATAGCAATCATCTGTCCGTGGGGAGCAACTGAAAGCCTTTTTAATCTGTCTTCTCAACAAAAACACATGTTTAAGTTACATGTTTTTGTCATTCAACCCTCAGGACGACCATTTTGGGTCCAAAGGGCTGAACTTGACACAAATCTACAAGATAATTTACTTATTAATTTATTTTCTTATATCACACCATCTTTCATACATGAAACTCTTCAGAAATTCGTACCTGGATGAAGAAGAGTTTTGGCTTTCCAACTAAGCTTTTGCACATGTCCCCTCTGAACAATGAGGTCATGGACTTGATGGGCATGGCTCCGTCCGTTCCATAGATCATGCCCTCCTCACCATGGCTTAGCAGGATACAGGCGAAACACGAGCTGTCACTATGGTCTTCCTCCGAGGCTGACCCATACACACACAGACAAACACTCAACTCTTAGCTCGGCTCAGGCCTCATTAAACTGAGATATATTGTGTGAAAAGTTGACATTTTAGCCGGCGGGTTGCACTGGAGAAAAGTGATCATCCGGAAGGGAACACAAATGTGCCGGTTAAACTTAATGCCAATCTGTCTGTTGGATTTAGACTTTTGAATTTCTGAGCGCACTATAATGAGACAGGATATTGATACTAGAAGAAAGGTCAAGGGGTCGCCAAAATAATTAGGATTAACCCGAAGAGGAAAAGGCTATAGCAAAGTTCATGGCATCTATTCTGCGGTTCATGAGGTAACTTGCTTTGGACGCAGTGTTTAACTGAGGGTCGGACCTGAGAAAAAAAAAAAACCTGACTATCAGCTAGCCACACAATAAACAAAAAAATCCATTTGTTTCCCCAAGAGCATATGGCCTGAGAGGTGACATGTCCATCTTGTCATTAGACCCAGCCAGTGGATGTGTAAGGGCTCTGATCAGTGACACCAAAAGTTTTGACCTTTTGGTCAAATTGGTAGCAAATTCATTAGGATGTGTTTAATTACTTTTACAACAGCCCCATCGGCCGTCTGACCTGGCGGTTTTAAGAAACAAATGTGCTGTAACAGCATTCAAGAGTCTTGAGTGCAAACGTGTGCATGTAGATCCCACTGCAACTTAAAGGGGAATCCATTTCACTGGCTCATGACTGTACTCTATGTACTGTATATTAAAGCAAATTAATCCGGTAGAGCTGATGTCTGTCTGGTATTGAGATTCTTAACTTTCCTTAAAATTGAAACATTTTCACATTAATAAAATAGGGTAACCAAGATGCTGTTGCAAGTACTATGTTTTACTGCCAGTTTATTAGATACAGATACATAAACTAATCAAGTGATGTACAACAGTCCTGCAATAGATCCTCTCTTCATGAAGGTAAGAACGATGAATGTTGTTTTTCAACTTGTTTTGATTCAGTTGTATTCTGCCACACTAAGACGTGTTTGTCCATCCAATAATATATCAAAATGAGTAGATTAAATATAAGGAGTTCTCATCTTAATGTAACAAAATACAACTAAACAGCACTGCAAACTGGAGCCTCTAAAATGACCACAAAGTTAAATCAACCTCCATTATCACCTTTGTGGTGGAAGGATTCAATGCAGAAGCGTTGGATTAGACTGCATTAGTTTTGGTGTATTAATAAACTGGCAATTGATTATATGACTTTTTACGGCGTGACTAGAATGTCAGTATGTGTATGAAGCAAGAAACCCGCCTTCCACCACTGAAAATGTTTTTATGGTGTTTCCAAAAGCTTTCTCCATTTCATATTTGTTAGGATCGGTATTGGCATCCTATTAGTTCAACATTGTTACTTACTGAAAAGTGTAAGGACTTCACTACTCACCCTCTCTTAGAAGACTCTCCATCTTCTCACATGTCTGATCATTGTAGATGAAGACATCGAAGCCCAGGCTCTTGAAGCATTTGAACAGCTCTCCTGCGTCTCGGTCCGTGCCGTTGCGTACATTCATCCCTGCAAAGACGATCTGCTCAGATTAAACGCTCTTTTTGAATCAGGTATACACCGTGTTTGAAACATGCTCGCCGTACCTGTCTTTTCATCAAAGTTTTTGTTGTTGATGATGATGCACTTGCCCACTCGTTGGTGGCTCATCTTATACTGGAATGTTGGTGAAACAAGTCTGTAATGGCTTTCAGAAGAGTAGTCCTGCTCCCGCATCTGGCCATCCTTTTTCTTCTTACTAATAGAGTCAAGGAGAAACAGGGAATCACGTGTTAATTCAATAACTCCAGCGACAACTGCACATGTTTAAGACTTTACTTAATACGTATGCACGACATTAACAACAATGGTTACACGTCTTCCGTTCCTCTAGAACTAACTGCGTTACACGCATGCGCACTAGTTAACTCAGTACTTAACAAACTCCCCTTTCTCTTTAAAGAAAAACATAGTCACAAAAAAAAAATTTGTTTTTTAGAACTTTAAACATATAAACACAGGTTTAAACTTGCAAATTTAATGACTAGAGTTTGAGGGTAGTAAGGCTTTTGTTGATTAGCTCGTTTAGCCTTTAAGTTGCCATACACCTTCGCTGAGAGCCCTCAGCAGAACAAGTGCAGATGTCCCCTTCTTAGTCAAGCAGTCAGCGAGTTGTTCCTTGGAGGCTGACCACATAATCTGCTGGATGGTCCCAGAGTGGACGAGCTCCTTGACGCTGCTGATTTCGAGGCGGAGTCTCTTTTCAGTGACTGTTTTGGTGGACTTGACAGCATCAAGAAGAGAGTGATTGTCCGTTACACACACAATGGGCAAATTGTTCCGTGTGCAATCACCCGTGGTAAGTTCTGAGTAGAGTGTAGCCAAAAAGACTGCACTGTCAATGCCATCTGCAAGTGCCAAAGTCTCTCCTGCTAAGGTGCTTCGGACAACTCTCCTGATCCTCTTTGACTGCCAGCATATGGGTGAAAATCTTCCATTCTCTCCCATAAGCATGACCAGGTGTCCCGCCTTGAGTGCCTCCGTCTGGAAGGTTTCCCATCGAGGAATCACTGAACACCACTAGTTTCAGTGAGCTGTCTTTTCCCAAGTGCTTTCCTCAAGGTCACCTCTTCTGATTTCAGTTTCCTGACAAGTTTGTTTGCAGAGTCTGAACAGTGGCATGCTTTATACTTGATGCTAGGATGGATATGTCACACATTATGTCGGGTCTACTCTGCCTTGCTACCCACAATATTTGGCCAATCTTCGACTTTAACATGTCAGTCTCAGTGTCTGTTAGAGGAGCCTCTCACTGTGTGGCTCTGTTGGGGTCCACAGGAATGGGTTGTAGATTCTTTATGTAGATACTTTGTTGCACTTGGATCTCATCCTCTAAAGAGTGAACCTCCATTCCAATGTAGCTGAAGCTGTTGTGCTCTTCACGTCCAACTTGGAAAAGCAACTTTCAAGTGAGGGATGACTGTTGTGGAAAATGTTTCTGAACCACCCCAGATGAAATCATCCACGTGACAAGCAAGGAGTCCCATCACATTGTAGGAGTCATCCAGCCAGTAGAACACTGCTGGATCAACTTGTGACACAGTAGCTCCCAACTGCTGCATAGTGTCTTTCACTCTGTTGTACCAATATAGAGAAGCATCTGCTAGGCCATAAACACACTTTTTTAACTTCCATAGAATTCCTTTGCTCTGAGCTTCTTGGGGAGGACGGATATAGACATTTCGGGTTAACTCTTTGCCTTGTAAAAAGGCTGCTTTAATGTCCATAGAGTTTAGCTGCCATTTCTTTTGACATATCACTGCCATAATCATTTTTAGAGACTCCGAGGCACATGTAGGCGAGTCTTTTGGGAGCTCCTGAGTGTTCATTTCTTCAAAGCCTCTTGCAACTAATCTCGCTTTAGGTACAACACCATCAGGTGTCTCCTTGAGTGTGCACACCCACCTCGTAGAGATGCATTTCTGGCCTTCATCTTTCACCTCTTCAAACACATCATTATTTTTCCAGTTGCTGAGTTCACTGTGTTTGGCAGGCATGAAGGCATCATCATTCACAATAAGTATGTCTTCGTGAGGATGGCTAGCACCTAACTCGACATGCTCAGATGGGACCACTTGAAGATTGTGTACTCGTCCTAAGTCAACAGAACCGGTAGTGCCAGAAATTTCCTCAGGCTCAATATACTCCAAATTATAGCAGTATTTGTATGTCCCAGTGGCTTTTCCTGCCCTGCTGAGGATTTTTCCAGTGTGTGCTTTCAGTTTTCAGACTAAGGCCTTCACAAGTTGTGGTTGAGTTGTTCTGTGATACGTCCGATTGACCATGGCTACCTCCTTCTGGCTGTCTTGGTGTGTGAGGGGGTTCACTGTTATCCTCACTATTTGTAGGCGTCTCTTCCTCACTTTCATTTTCAGTGTCGTTATTCTCATTAAAGCCAGGTTCTGGTAATGTTGTATGATGTTCAGTCCCTTCCAGCTGAATGTCCCTTTCTCCCAGCACTGCTTGTGGGCTCTCTACTTTTCTAAGCCTGGAGTGATGTACGCGAACGTAAGTGCCACCATGCCTCACAAATATCACTGCACCATCTTGGCCGATGACCATTTCAGTGAGGGTTTGATTATGCCTTTCCAAAAGCCCATTGCTCCATGTTAATTCAATAACTCCAGCGACAACTGTACATGTTTAAGACTTTACTTAATACGTATGCACGACATTAACAACAATGGTTACACGTCTTCTGTTCCTCTAGAACTAACTGCGTTACACGCATGCGCACTAGTTAACTCAGTACTTAACATCACAGACAGTTAACACTTCACGGTAGCGTTGTTTAAAATTAAAATTTCTGCAATTGTATCTACTTTTGAGCTGTACTTAATGCTAAATGTTTTAAGTTCAGCTGGTCTTTTGAAAGCTTGCGACTTGCGTGGACATAAAGTTGATGTATAGAAGTCACATAAATCAAATCTATAACATTATTACACACTAAAACAGGCCATTTAATTTTTCAACTTCCGTAATGTTAACTCTCTTATCTTACATGGCAGCTTCTTGCAAAAGTGAAACATTTTCAACAAAATATTCTTGACTCTTAGAGAGAGCCAAGCCCAAATGTTTCCACACGTAACAGTTACTTCATCATAAGCAAATGTCAAGACTTCCAATGCAAAGAAAACTCACATGAAACTGACTCACTCTGATCCACTTACTCAGAAACCAAAGAGTACATACATTTTCAAATAAGGCATTAAAGTCGCAGCCAAATTTGATCGCAGTAATCCACCATCGGAAGAAAGAAGAAACTAGAACATTGTTGCTCAGTGCAGATAAAAAAAAAAATCCTAACCACGTCAAGGCAGATCGAGCGAGAGTAAATCTTCCACGGGAGGCAGTTCTGAAAGACCTGTCATATTTCCATTCTTTAAAAGATGCATCCAGACAGCAAAGCCAACAGTTAGGGGCTCAGAAAACCCAGGCTTGTTCCAGAAGAGCCTCGTCATCAAGTTACTCAACCACGGGAACAATACACGGCAATGCGCACCAAATGTCTCATGCACATACTCACAGGCAGCCCAGCCATATTCAAATCAACATGTGATCCAGAACTTTTCGCAGCCCCCCCCCCCCCCCCCTGCTGTGGGCTGGGCATGGCAGAAAGAGTAGCAGGTGGGAGGACGGTGAAGAGGAATACGAGGCGATTGTGTCCTTCTTACCTGGGTTCGTCATTAAGCGCTACGCCACTCTGCATCTGAAATGCGTTGGTTTTGTCTCCTTTCTTCTTCTTTTTTTGCCCCCCCAAAGAAGTTTGTTTCTCCAGATCTGACAGCTTAATTTTTGGCTGTGTGCTAGGATACTGACATGCTCTCTGTACTGGATGGACACCTGACTGGGCCAGCGGGTGCTGAGGACGGGGGCGGCGCACTGCGAGCTCCCTGAGTCAGCAGCCTCGCCACCACACCAGTGCTTTCTAAAGGCCTATTCACACATGGCCCCTGTGCCTCGATGCCTGCTGAGGTCAGACAGGGCAACAAGTTGCTCCTCTGCTGACAGGGACATAATCCACCTGTACCGGCACACATACTGTGAGAGCCTTATCACCTCAACTTTAGAGCTGGATGCGCAAGAAGATGTACAGCTAAAAAACATCAATTTCTGCTTGCTAAACACCTCAACATACGACATATAACCAAGAGAAATCTTTGTTATCAACAGTCTTGGTTGAAAGCAAGATTTAGCCTAAATCCAACCAGTTCAAAAGATAGACAGTTGTCGTTACAATCTGTATGGCATTATACACCAGTCATTTACAGATGACATGGTATGATAGGCATGACTGAAGAGACATCACAAGTTATTCTGTTTCTAATGAAAGACACACACGCAAGTACTGTAGATGAGTTGGTATCAGTTTTACGTAACACTTCTAAATATGGAGGTCATCTTTGCTTCCAGATAACCACGACTAAGTGGCAAACAAACAAACCATTCAGCAGAGTAGGCCTACGTAACTCCTTGATATACAACGTGTTGTCTTTAATCAATTCAGCCTATTTTAAAAGGCACTTTTATTTGTTTGCAATCTAAAATGACAGATGCTTCTTTAAAATGTAAATGCCAGTCAGAGCACACAGGCTCTTGTTTCATTGCCACTGTCTGGGAGAAACAGTTGACAAATGTTCCCCCCACTGCAAAGGTTCACAGCACCACCTTGTGAAGTAAACAGGAACAAACAGAGTCACTGTCACACTTTTAAAGCAGACGTTGGGAAAAGGCCCACGTTCTATGATATCACACTGAATTAACATATGCACAATTTTAGACTTTGTTGTAATACAGTCTAATTTTGAGCAGCCACTTGAGGACTGACATCGGTCCCAAAATTGACTTTAACATAATTTCAAAGCTCCTTGCCCCGTTACACTAATTAGGTTACCCAAAAACTGGGTTGCTGTGTCAAATCAAGGGCAATACTTTGATATTTTTCAAGCTTTCAAACCAGTGGCACTCTCTTGTACAAGCAATCTTACCACAGTGACGTTTTTCATCTCTTGTTATTAGTAATTGTGAATAAGTAACTGTTTGAGTATTTAAACATGAGTATGTGTGCACATATAGTTTATTTATAAGTGGTATAGCACCACAGCAATAGTTCTACAAGCGTCACTTGAGAAAAATGTGCATTTAAGATATGAGAAATATATGATAATTGGCTGTTAAACAAATCATAGTTCATTTCAGATTCTCCTGAACTGGAGAAACCGTGAACTGCACTAAAACAATGTCAGGGGTGAAAATCGGAACAACAGGACAGAGGAGGGTACTGCCATGAAAGAAAACATGGAAAGGCGGTAACGAGAAAAAACAAACAGAACAACGTGAGATAAATAGGACTACGGCTGCAATATTTTAAGTGAATTAAATTCCTTGTGGACTTCCTCTCAATGATGTATGTCTTCACATCTTCAGACTACTGGAAATGTTGAAAAAGGAAGTCACCCAAAGATCAGAAATCTTCCTCTGCGGTCAGGTTTGGCGTCTGTCTGGTCTCCCGTCAGCTTAACTTCCTCCACATCAGCTCCAAGATCACTTGGCTCAGCAGGTTCTCCAGCCATCTGCAGTCAGATTAACCGATTCATTTACTGTATATGATGCCACCAGTTTAATACGCTGTTGTTTCATTTAACGTGTTAGCCGAGTGTCTGATTACGTTAGCTCAGCGCTAGAAACGCGTCCGCCAAAAACAGTTTTCCGTTTAGAAACGGCTAGACAGCATGAACGTGCACTCGTTCGTGTAATATGTTATGTCACCTTAAGTACTGCACACAAGTTGTTTGTGGATCTTTTTTTCCTCTCCAAAGTTTAGGCCAAGTTTCTGTTCCTCAGAGAACTTGAGAAAGCGAAAGTACGCAGGACGTATTCTCAGGGGTGCGTAATTACGCAAGAGCCCTGCGTCAGAGCACTGCGTCATATTCATATTAACCTATGATATTAACATGTTATCAAACTCCACAGTTTATCACAATAAAAACCTCCACAGTTCATCCAACATATCAGGTATGATATACAACTGTAATAAGCAGAATAAAGAATATTCATATGTCAAATATTTTTGATAAAACATGAGAATACGTCATATAAATTCCCCATCCCATTTTAGTTGGCTGACTACCATAAAGTCCCTGATTTACTGAAAAATACTGTATGTTTTGTACTGTTGTACTTGTCACCCAAGTACTTGTATCCCTAGTTTACAGAAGTTCCCTAAACCCCGATGTTACATTTAGATGTTCCCTATTTGTTACATCAGGTACAAAATCAGATTTGTCGAATCCATCTATTAAAAGGGACTTAAACCATGAGGAACTTTTGTACATTACTTTTATTGGGAATTAATGCCCCCTTTTTGTGTGAGTTTGCTTAACTTTGTTATCTGTTAAGTTGTCTATATATATTGTTTCTTGTATGTCAAAATTTCAAGTATATCAAGTGATGCTTAAAACCAGAGTTGAATTATTTCTGTTAACATACTCAGCTGAAGAAGCTAAGTAAAACTATGACATAATGTATTACGCTTTTATGTGTTAGTGTCGAGGCAAGATGCCCAAAGTTGAACTAGCTGGCCAACTCAGGATCATTACACACATACACTGACATCTGACCTAGCTGTCTCTCTCTGTAACTCTCTCTCTCTCTCCCTGCAGACAGACAGCTGGACTCAGCCAGTCTTCTAGCATGGTACATGGAAGGGGGTTGGTCCATCGGGGGACATGGTGTCAAGTAAGAGACAGGTTTAAAGGTTCACAGTCACTGCGCTAAGTTTACCACCACCAGAGATATACTACCAGTACTGTCCGGGAATCACTGCCAGTTCCTCCACTATACCGTCGCCTGTCTGTCTGACCTGAACATTTCTCATTAGTTCACGTCTTCTGATATTTTTTCTGAAGGTTTTTTGGGGAAAGGACAATCATTCACCATGCAGTCCTCCTGTGCCAGGTGTGGCTTTGTGGTCTACCCGGCTGAGAAGATCAACTGCATTGACCAGGTAACACACAGAAACATTGTGATCGCGAGAAAGTCTGTAGTGTTTCTTTGGGCATTTAATCTTACAAATACATTTCAAAATAGTTCAAACCGCTGTAAAAGTAACAAGAGAGTCAGTAATTACATCGAGGTATGGTACAAACGTTCCTCATGTCAAATACAACACGTGGCTTGGTGCGCAAACAGTGAATGTAACGAAATACAGCTTCTGCCAATAAACTACTTTTTAAAAATACATGAAGTGTATATAAAATGACATACTTCTTAAAGTAAACTTTTAAATCTGCTATGGATATGAGCATAAAAGGAGTAACATTCAAATCGCTTCGTTATAATATCTGCATCATGAAAAGCATCCATGTAGCTCTGACTGGTCGCTGCCATATAATGGCATTTGTAAAAAAGTTTGTGAGACAAAAAGCAAGAGGTATACAGTTTATCATTCACATGAAAGATATATTTAAGAACAAGTCAGCGTGACCAGGTGACGATGCTGTGAATAATGCCGTTATTTTGGGCCTTGTTCAATGAAATCTGTTTTGTTGATTTGATGTTATCAGAAATGACCTGTCCAAGTTTTAAACTTCTTCTGTCTCCACATAATAAACTAGATTGAAATCTGATTTTACAGATTCAAATTCAGTTTGAAGGACCTTCTAAATTATTACTGTGATTTGTCTTTTCCTCTGTCAGAACTGGCATAAAGGGTGTTTTCACTGTGACGTCTGTAAGATGGTGCTCACTGCCAATAACTTTGTCAGCCACATGAAGAGGCCATACTGCTCTGTGTAAGTATTACCAGTATCACCTGATTATAAAAAGCTGATCAAAAATCTATCTTCAGGGGACATTTGAGTGTGAAAATAGATTCAAGGAACTCAAAATTGGTGATTCAAATGATGATTCAAAAGATTTATCTTCCATTTAGACACAATCCGAGGAACAACACATTCACGAGTGTCTATGCGACCCCCATCAACATCAACGCAAAGAAGCAAAGCAAGGCGAGCAGTGAGGTGAGATGACGTCGCATGCAAAAACACACGAGCAGCAACATGAGACAAAATATTTCGGCCTTGATCTGAGTCAAGGTGCATGGTTGACATGCTGACATAAGTCACTGTCTATGCCATGAGTGAAATGAGCATTTATCTTTGGTTTGTCATGAGATTGCTATTCATAGTGGTTATTTTGGTTACGATTTTAAAAAGGGATGGATCCATTACAGCTGAATTTAAATAGACCCGTTTACATTGTTTTAAAATCCCCAAATGTAGTCAGAAATGGACAATTCTGTTTTACAATTCATCACACAAAACCAGTGATCTGACCCAAAGCAGATGTATCCATTACAATCAGAGAGAGGGGTCGGTCGGCTGCTCGGAGTCCACGGTGACGGCAGCGGTGTGGAATGGACAGTGCTGCTCGGGTTATTTCTGTTCCTGTGACAGAGGCGAGACAACCCCCTCTGCTTAGCCCGCTTCATGCTCGGGGGGCTAAAATTATACGTCAGGAGTAAAAAGCCTCACATCCCTTCTTCTCATCTGCCCTGCCACCTGTTCCCGTCTCTCTGTCGTTCATGCAATGTTCTTGTGCTTATATTAGCAGTAAGCTAGCAAGCTCATCAGCTACTGCTATATGTCACTACAGAGATATAGGACTTGTTGATATTTGGTCAGACCATTCTGAGTAACCCACAACCTTGTCTACTTAACACTCTCAAATATTTTATGCTGTGGAGCTTGTCTTTTCATTGGTTCATTGGTGATACTTGACCTGTTTTCAGTGAGTTTCTGTGAGTCATACTAAGAGTCCTCATAGAAACCTATGTCTCATGTTTATTGTTAGCCCTTTAGCGATGATGCTTCAGAAATGTTAGTGCTGTCTCTTATCCCAGGCAATGAAGCTATTCTAATATTAGTTTTGAACATTTTTTACAGCTTAAGGATCGTTAGCAAACAGCTCAGAGTTTCATAACTCAGTGCTCCTCTCTTGATCTTTCTTGGCAGGTCCAGCTTCTTTTTAGTTATTAATAACAGCAGACTAATTTTAACCCTTCATCGTGAAGAATGTGAGCTCAGGTTGTCGGGTTTAAGTTGGCAACGTAAGAATAGAGTGATGTTTGGCTCTGTGGATCTGAAGTCAGGGTAATATCACTGTATGCTGGTTTTCTTTTCATTATTTAGATTTTCATGCATTCAACTACCAAAGTGGATGCTGTAAACACATGACTTGTGTTTGCATGCGCAAATGTGTGCTGGCCTTGGCTTAATGCGTGTCGTCTGTGTGCACTTGCAGCTGAAGTATCGCGAAGATGGCGAGCGCTTCATGTCCACCTTCCACCATGACATGAAGTCCATGGAGCTGGAGGAGGCTCGCCTAGCCAGCCAGATGGCCGGCCAGATGGCCAGCCAGGTGAGCTCCTGGTAGAACTGGCCATTACACCCAGTTAAAGAGAGTTTCAGCCTTAATTTGGATCTTTCCTGAAGCAAACAATCCTACTTCTCTTTTTGTTCCTTGTACTGTTGACCTTCTTTGCAAACAGCAAAGTTATTGTGCGCAGTGATCCCAGGTCTAACTCCAAATAATCAATAATAAAATGTGATTATATTGCGGGAATGTTGGAAACTGTATAATTTCAGTGATCATGGAGGTAGTCAAGTAACTTGTGTTATCAGGCGGTCACAGTTGATGCATTGAACCTCATCTTCTCTCTCTTGTCTGCGCTGACAACTGCGTAGACACAGATTTATTTGCAATGTATTGCCACTTGTTGCCATTACTTCATAGAGGATTAGTAAAGCAGGGTTGTGTGGCTGATTAAATAAGGTCCAACAGGCATGAAAGGTAAAGTGTTACATGTACCGTGAATGGCTGGAAATGATCAAGTGTGTCTCCCATATCCAAACAGACCTTTCAGTCTCAGTCTGAGTTCTCCCAGCAGCAGTCATGGTACTCAGGCATGGTGACCAACCAGGAGGTAGTAACGATGTCTCAGGCCGAGAAGACCCTCAATGATGTGAGTACACTTGTTCTTCCTCAGGGAGACTTCCCTTTTTTATTTTTCAAATATGGTGTCTTTAAATAGATAAAGGAGCACATTTGGTAGTCGTGTCAATGGCTTTGCATCAATATTGGTGAAGTGTCTTGATTGATTTTGTGATTATTTGGCAGGTGAAGTACACAGAAGAATATGAGCAGTCGAAAGGCAAAGGAAGCTTCCCTGCTATGATAACACCAGGTTACCAGGCTGCTAAGACAGCCAATACTTTAGCCAGCAGCGTAAGTGAATTTCTTTGCTCATACTGTTCTTGACCAAAGAGCTTGTTTTATGTGTCTCTGTCAGTGGTTGTTTGAGTTTGACTTCATACTGAGCCAAATCAAGTTCTTTGTTTTCTTGATTTGCAGCTGGAATATAAAAAAGGACACGAGGAGAGAGTTTCAAAATACACCACGTTTGTTGACCCCCCAGAGGTGCTTCTTGCCAGGAAACAAGGACAAATTGTTAGCGATGTAAGCTTTAAGCCTTTCATGATGACTTTATGATATCTTGGTGTGTTGTATCTCACTTTGGACGAAATGTCGCAAACAAGACCAGTTGAGTATAAGGCAGTTTGTCCTATAGCCTTTAGTGTAGGTAAGTGCCTAAATCCCTGCTTTTCTTCCCCCAGTATGCCTACATAGAAGAGTATGAGCAGCAGAGAGGTAAAGGTAGCTTTCCTGCACATCTTACACCTGGATACCAGATGTCAAAGAAGGCCAGTGAGCAGGCCAGTGATGTAAGTAAAAAAATGTACACGTACATGTATGCACACAAACACTCTGGCAGACCCCCCTGATAATCGGTTGTTAATGGATTTCATGTCCCACCAGATTAAGTATCGTCAGATGTATGAACAGGAGATCAGGGGTAAAGCCAGCGCTGAGGCAGCGATAGCTGAAGCAGTTCACGCCAGAGACAATGCAGCGAACTTCAGCCAGGTATGGAAGTTACTCTTACTGTTTTATTAATATATTTACTAAAAACCTCTAATTCCTGTATCTTTTTGAATTACAAATGAGCTATCGTCTGTTTACAGATCGCCTATACCGAGCAGTATGAGCAGCAACGAGGCAAAGGAAGTTTCCCTGCCATGATCACTCCTGGTTATCATCTCGCAAAGAAGGCTCAGGAAAATGCTAGCAATGTGAGTATCAACCTGACGAATAAACATAGTGCGGTGCTTAGTTATAAACACTGCAGAATATTTTTGATGAAGATACAGAAAGCCCTTCTTTAGACTTCACTACATCTTGCGTCTAACACTAAAGTAGTTGGACGGTTGGTCTGCCTATTGTTTAACCATGTGAACTGGTTGTAAATGCTGTGAAAACATAACAGAGTGTGGAGTGTGAGAGCTTCAGCTTCGTCTGTCATTTGGCCTTGTCATCACTCATAGATGAGGGACTACAATATGAAAGCATGTCGTCATTCTTAAAACTCTCCTCACCGACTAAATTAGACTCTGTGTGTGTTTGTGTGTGCGTGAAACACAACATGTTGTCCCCCTATATGCACTCAATCATCTTTTACCCCTTTGCAGCTAAAATACAGGAAGGACTTAGGCAAGATGAAGGGCACCTCACACTTCCATAGCCTGACATCTGAGGACAATCTTGCCCTAATGAACGCCCGCAAGATCAACAAGATTGTCAGTGAGGTGAGCTCGTTTGTGATCGATTGTCAGGCTTTCAAGGCAAAGATCGGACCTTCATTTATGTAGTACTTTTGAATTTTATCTTATTTTTAGCTCGATAAGAAAGCATTTCCAGGTTAACATGTTGCTACTCAGTGCATGTGTGTGTTTAAGAGCTTGAAATATTGGATATACTGTGTCAGTTCCCAGCAGACATAGAGCCACCCAACTTGCATTTTCGGCATCTCTGACATGCCTGTCCGGTGCGGTTACAGCTTAGCTCCAAGGCCACGGGACATCCCGTCAAACTACTATTACCTCACACAGGAAAACAGTGCATCACTCTTGAGCAACTATTCCGAGCCTTGGGAATATGACTTAGAACTGTCACAATTGTTTTTGCTTGTCCGTGAACAATGATCTGATTGAATGCTTAAAGGTGACAAAGGTCTGCCTGTGTTGTGTTTGAGTGGTAACGCTGACATGTTAAATGGTGTTCTGCTGTCATTTATAAACTCAGCAAAGCATATGAATTAGGATTAAAGGTTTGTCTCAGTGACTCTTGAGTTATGACGGAGTGTCAGTGATTGTGACTGATTTGCGGCAGGCACATTATATATAGGTGCCACAAAGGACAAGCTCTGATTAGTCAACAACAAAAAATACATTTGCTATGAAAAATGTTTCAAAGAAGCTGCTGTCATTTTTCATTTTAAACTGTGATGTACATAGCTATAATAAGAGACATGTTACTCCTGACAATGCTTCGTACTGGGCTCTGTCAATTCTCCGTTAGATATAACTGGCTCAGTTATGCAACAGTTACATTCAAATTGAATTCATTCAACTCACTAATCCATTTCAAATAAAGTCTTACTACTACATTATATTATTTATTTCATGTTTCTGTAGGATTTATGTTGCCTACTTTATGTTTGCTTTTTGATTTTATCTTTGCTTGTTTTTTGTTTTTGTTGATTATTTGACTTTTGTTTTTGCTTCGAACGTTTACTGAGGTGATTCCTCCCCTGCTCAACTTGCTTCTTTTCCTTTGTTATTGTGTTTCTGCTGCTTTGTGTTATTATGCAAACCAAAATAAAAACCCTCATATTTTCTACCAGGTGGAGTACAAGAAGGACTTGGAGAACACCAAAGGTCACAGCATCAATTTCTGTGAGACACCACAGTTTCAAAATGCTGCTAAAATCGCCAAGTTCACAAGTGATGTAAGTATGACAAGCAACATAATGAATTTCACATTGTTGTTTTTGTAAATGTATAGATTACTGAAAAAGTACAAGTAAATTATAAAAATATCTATTTGGCCTTACTGTAAATGTCATAAGGACAAACATATGGATAACATATGGATACTGCATACCGATTTCTCTTAATCTCTCTGTACTCTTAAAAGAACAAGTACAAAGAGAAGTACATCAGCGACATGAAGGGCCACTATGAAGACTCAGGAATCGATAAGAAGACCATGCATGCCATGAAAGCCAGGAAACTGGCTAGTGACGTAAGCCTTGTTTTTCATGGACTCATGATAGTATAGAAATTCAATCTATAGATTTATGCAAATTATCAACACCCTAAATTGTCTCTGCTTGGATCCAGTTTTGCATTCAAGACCCATCATGACATATTGTATTTTAAACAGCTATTCGCCTTCACCTGCTATCCTGTTTTTCTGACAAAAGAGCACAGACATTAGTATTAGATTTAATACATAATCCATGGGCAGATGTTTACATTACCTAATGGTTGAGTTATAAAACATGAATTAGAATACCTGCTCTGCCAGTTATATCACTGACATGGTCTTCTTGTAATTTCCAGATTTCTTATAAACAAGGCTGTGAACAGGAGCAGGGTGAATACAACTACCCAGCCACGCTCACACCAGGCTACCAAAGCCAAAGGAAACTGGACCCACTAAAAGACGTGAGTTTTCTCAAATTGAATCCCAAAATGTCTTTCTTTTAGCTACATACAATTTACATTAGAATTACAATGAAAAACATTACAATTGTAAAACTATTTTTACAGTCAGGTGGATCATCGTATGTGCTACATTCATTTGTATAAATTGTTTGCTATACAACTGCAGAAGAACTACAGGCAGCACATCGGCCAGGTCAAGTACAGCCAGACAACAGACACACCTGAGATTGTGTTAGCAAGGAAAAACGCTCAGCTGGTCAGCAATGTAAGTAAACTGCATTATAACAACACTCACTGCCAAGGCTTGATAAAAACACACCAACCTCATCAGCACCTTTCAGCTGCAGACTGAGCTCTGAGCTGACTGTAGAGTTTGAACGTGCGATCCATGTGTCTTTTAGCAAAACTACAAAAAAGGCTATGAAAAGACCAAACATCAGTACACGCTGTCCCAGGACCTGCCCCAAATCAAAGCGGCCAAAGCCAATGCTGCCTTGTGCAGTGATGTAAGTTAACACACACATACTTTGCATGCATGTACACGTCCAAGGTCATTCACATGGTGGCAGAAAATCACTTCTCATTCTTCAAGTGATCATTTTATTGTATTTCTCCAGATTAAATATAAGGAGGAGTGGGAGAAGAACAAATCTAAAACCTGCGACATGTCAAATGTCATGAGTGTCAAAGCAGCTAAGGCTTCCCGTGACCTCGCCAGTGACGTAAGCAAACACACACTCTTGTCTTCTGCAAGGAGATGCAATATAAAGTTAATGCCTGAGAAGAATGTGGGTTCAACAAAAATGTAATAGCTGGCAAATTAAATTAAGTCCCGTGTGCATGTGTTTCAGATTAAATACAAAGAGACCTACATGAAGAACAGGGAAAAGGCAGTGGGCTTCAACACGAGCGACTCCAAGACTCTGCACTCTCTTCAAGTGGCCAAGATGAGCAGTAATGTAAGCAGACGTCACTTTGATCATTATTTACAGGCATTAAAACGCATTTTTTTCACACATATAACGCTTTTTGCAGCTGCAGCATACGTGCTGACTCAAAATGAATCTTTGTTTTGAATCGTTACCACTTCAGATTGAGTACAAGAAGGGCTCCAAAGAGAGCCAGTCCCAGTACAGCCTTCCTCTGGACATGATCAACCTGAGCCACGCCAAAAAGGCTCAGGCCCTCGCCAGCGACCTGGAGTATCGCACCAAGCTGCACGACTACACCGTCATGCCTGATGACATCAAGGTCCAGCAGGCCAAAAAGGCTTATTCCCTGCAAAGCGAGGTGAGAGACGGGAGAAAGGAATGAGACCTAGTCTGCTATTCAGGTGGTAAATGCTGTAGAAAAAGAACTCCTCTGGTTAATGACTCTTTTTCGGTTGCTCAACAGAACCAGTATCGTTCAGACCTGAACTGGATGAAAGGAGTGAGCTGGGACACTGAAGGATGTCTGAACATTACCCAGGCCAAGAAAGCTGGAGATTTGCTTAGTGATGTCAGTAATTGTGTGTTTGTGTGTGCATCTTTCAGTTTGTTAATTAACTTACTAACACTGTTTATTTACTGTACTCTGCTGCCTCACAGACTAAATACCGGCAGAAGGCAGACAGCATCAGGTTCACCCACGTGGCGAATGATCTCTCCATCGCACACGCCAAGAAGAGCCAGGAACTGCAGAGCGACGTAGGGTCTTCACTTTAAAGCTGTAATCGTATACATTTAACTTTGGTGCACTCTTTTATGACATGTCTACATGTGTTTGATTTTCAGCTGGCGTACAAAGCAGACAAAGAGCAGATAATACACCAGTACACCATGTCAAATGATGAGCCCCTCTTCAGACAAGCAAAGGCAAACGCTAACCTTCTTAGTGGGGTAAGTTTAGTGAAGTTCATCACAATGAGCAGATATATGATAACACTGGAGGAAGTTACAACAAAATAAATGAATTGTTCAGATTAAAGACTTAAATATTTGTTTTTTTAACATCTCTTGTCTTTGTAATGTATTTCATTGAATTGATCACACATTGCATACTTATTCCATCCATGCAGCCTCATAATATATACCTTATTTTGGTTAAGTATTGGACATAATCATTTTTATTTTATAATTTTTTATGATGATGATGGTCGGGTATAAGTCAATAATGGCTTTGCAAAAATAGACTGGATTTGTTTTTTATGAGAATCCGGTAATTATGTTTGATCAGTGCACTTTAACTTTTACCGTGATGCTCATGTCATTTATATCTTATGTTTATTATGTAAAGATGATGAAGATCATGAACCTTTACTTTAATTGTGGCTGGTCAACAGTTAAATCAGACAGTTCTGAATCAGAGACCTCACTTCTGGTTCAACATGTCATGTGTCTTATCTATGAGCTTCAGCACTCTTTTATTTATTTAGTGTTCCCATCATGCACAAAATAAAGTTGATTATTCAAGGACTTAGTCCATTAATAAGAAATTAAGAAAGAAAATCAACCGAATCCTAACTGATTTGATGCACTTAAACTGCCTGTATGAAGTACTCTAGATTTTTACTTATCTTTTTCAGAAAGTGTACAAGAGCAACTGGGAGAAGCAGAGGGAAAAGGGCTTCGAGCTGCGTTTGGACTCTCTCTCTATACTCACCGCTAAAGCCAAAAGAGACCTGGCCAGTGATGTGAGTTATTCTAAAAACAGTCTGCACCCTTAAGGTTGGCTTGATGAGAAAAGTAGATTTTTTTTGTGCAATAATGTTATAATACATGTCAACTTGAATAGGTGCAGATTGGTACATGCCTGTAAAACAAAAAGCTGATTCAAAGACTGGCTTTTTGGAAAATCCACTACTGTCTTGCAGGTCAAATACAAGGAGAAGCATGAGAAAAACAAAGGCAAGGTGATTGGCATTAAGTCGGTCAGCGATGACTCTCAGATGGCTCACTCCGCTCTGGCTACCAAACTACAGAGTGGCCGCTATTACAAGAAGGACTATGAGGACACTAAGACCAAAAACAGGTGAGGCTCTGGACTAGACCTTGATGGAGCATTTCTAATGCTTGTCTCCAATCTTGGTCCATCAGACCCAGATTTAACTGATCAGGGATACCTTCACACCTGAGACACAGTGAATACAGTTAACTGTAATTAAATTGTTGTTGTTAAATCACTGAATGCTGTGATGATTTTCGGAGGTCTAAAATTCCTAAAGAACATTGTCTAAAAGAGGTAAAGGGTTTTAATTTAGCATTCAAGGACATATTAGAGGTAAGTATTGTAGACTTTTCTTAAAACATAGATCCAATGGTTGTATCTGCATTATTAGCAAACTCAACAGCATTGAAAATTTCTGACATTGCAGCCAATAACGTGCCTTATGGTCATGCCAGCAGTCATTTTGACTCCTTTCAAAATGTTACAAGCTTTGACTTAAATTCAAGATTTGCTGAGCCAAAAGACCCCACATCCCTTTACCTTGTTAAAGTCCAATGCAAGATTAAATGCTGTAGTAAGCTTCTTTTTAAGTGGGAATGACCCCAATGACCGGAGAGCACTGCTTCAGCATAAAACCACGAGAGCTGGCCTTTACATCTTGTGTCATTCAAACTCTATTTACCCAGCGTTTATCTGGATATGCTGAACATCAGCCATGCAAAGAAGGCTCAAGGCCTGGCAACCGAGACCAACTACAGGACTTTCCTTCATGAGTATACGACTCTGCCAACTGACATGAACGTCGCCTGGGCCAAGAAGGCCTATGGACTACAGAGCGAGGTAAGTCTCATAACAACTTGTTTTATGCTGAAATGATTAATTTACTACAGGACTGTAAAAGGTGAAAGCTGTGTGTGTCTTTATTTAGAATCAGTACAGGTCAGATCTGAACTGGATGAAGGGCGTCGGCTGGGAGGCCGGAAAATCTCTGGATGTCCAGCAGGCGAAGAAAGCCGGAGACCTTCTCAGCGAGGTAACCTCCCACCCTACGACTCAGAATGCACTGCTGAAATCAGCTGCAGGTTAACCTATGAGGTTGTGGGTAATGCTAATTAAAAAAGAGAATTGTCCTCACTTATATGGTTAAATGCTATCCCACAGCAACAGTTTCCGTCCTTGACCTTTGTTCACATTTCATTTATTTCTGGAAATTATATTGGAAGCCAAATGTAATTCAAACCAAACCATGCAGTGTATAATTAACCGTACTGAAGTGGTATTTATAACTAGAGAACTATGTAGGTAAATTAACACAGAGAGCATGAACAACTGATAACCACGGTTGTGTAACATGTGACTGTAAGGCACATATCAAAGTTTACAGCTTAGGACAGAATACATTTAAAGAGTGGCGGACCAATCGTGTTCGGTGGAAACTGGGTTAAGTACGTGGAACCCACTCGGCTACAACAAGTGAGCAGAATGATTATAATAACTGAAGCTGTTACATTTAATTAAAGATTCAACTTCACCAATTAGTGCACCCTCTTTCCTTGTTGCTTTCGCTTTACAAAATGTATTTGGTTTGAAAGTCCACATTGCTTACAGTGCATTGGTACATTGTTTTATTTTAATAAGGTATATCAGGAAAAGCAGGATGATTTGTGCCATCAAGACCTTCTAAGGGAAAGCTGTTGCACATCCCCCAGTAATGTCCAGTGTCCAGTTTCTTGTGCATTTGGAAACAGGGCCCAGCGGCTTTATTACAGAAACTTCAAAGCTCTGATATCTTATCTGTTTATGAATCCTAATCATTTGAACAAATTTACACGACAAGTCAGACATTTTTAATCACTAATGATTCAAGAATCTGCTGGATTTCTATAGATATTATGACCTATCAACATTATTGTCCTGCAAACTCCTTAAACCTTTCTCATCCACAGACTCTTTTTATGAACGCGTCTTTGTCAATGCATGCAAATTGTGCTTAAAGATATTTCTGTGACACATCTAGTGCAGACTGGAAAACACCAGACTCTATTCAAAACCTCTTCGTAAGCAGCCAACTATTTTTAACCTCACTCCAGTCAGGGTTTCCAACATTAGACCATGAAACGACAGACAGAACATAATTAGAACAGAGCCTTGAGTTACTCCTGAGCAGACTCCTATATACGTATCATATATCTACTGTATATTTCTCTCTAAAAATATGACCAGTTTCCTTTTGTTTTATTTTTGCCAGGTAGTTAATTTGTCAGTACACTTTTTTTGCGATTATATTGTGCCCTCTACTGTTCATCAAATGCATATGCACGCATTTATTTTTAATGGCTTCATTTTACCATGATAATCTTTTGATATTCGTCACTCATTTTTTTAATCTAGAAAAAGTACCGCCAGGGTGTGAGTGGTCTGAAGTATACCAGTGTTGAAGACACTCCAGAGATGGTCCAAGCCAAACTCAGCAACAAACTGGCTGTTGATGTAAGTTCAGCTGTCATTTGTTTAATGTACCAGATAACTAAAACAAAGTACATGTGATGCATTTGTGTCCCCTAGAATACTCTGATTTGAATGTATTTTTGTGATCTTGAATTTGGGGGCTTTGCCAAACTTAGCATGTCTTCTGCACTGATGGCCTCCCATAAGTACTGTAAATACGAAGTATACAAATAGAGGTACATTGGATGCTCAGTAATACCTTTCTTTCTCTTTTACAGAGGTTGTACAGGGAAAAGGGTGAAAACATGAAGCACAACTACACACTCAGCGGAGAGCTGCCTGAAATGGTTCAAGCCAAGCTCAATGCTATTAACCTCAGTGAGGTAAGATCACACTCACAAGAACTCACACAGAGACACATGTGAAATCCATCAGACAACCAATCAATGCATCCAGTCAGCTGACTGTGTGTGTGTGTGGCCTTTCATGTTGAACTGAGTTTATACATATGTGAATTTTCAGAGCTGTTACAAGGAATCTTGGAAAAAGATACGTGATGGCGGTTACAAGTTGCGTCTGGATGCCATACCTTTCCAGTCTGCCAAAGCGTCTACAGAGATCCTCAGTGATGTGAGCTTGCAACTTCTTCTTATCGTGTCATAACATTTTTCAGTGTGGGCCTAAATATATATTTGTCAGCAGAATTTACCGATTATTTTCTAACACAAAGAAGCATTTTTAATTGACATGACATTCTCAAACGAGAGAGCTTCAGACAACAGTAAAATCTTGTCTATGTGATGGATTAACAGCAGATCACTGATACATGATGGTTTTAATTTCAGTTTTGGGTAGTTGACTATTGCACAGACTGACGAATTGAAACATTTTACACAGCATCTCACGTAACTCATCTTACAAAAAGTAACAAGTGAATTATTTGTCATTTTAGCAAAAGTACAAAAAAGAATTTGAGAAGACCAAAGGGAAGATGATCGGACTGAAGGGACTGCAGGATGACATGAGCATCGCTCACTCGGTCCATGCCAGCGCGCTGCAGAGCGATGTAAGTGCTTCTTAACTGTAACTCAGAAGATAAAAAACAAATTCAAAAAAATACAGTATGTTAAAATGCAAACACCTCTCCTCTGTCCCTTTGCACCTCTCCAGCTTAAGTACAAGCAGGACTCTGCAAAGGAGCTCTCGAAGTTCCACCTGCCCATGGACATGCTGGAGGTCTCCCACGCTAAAAAGGCCCAGTCGCTGGTCAGCGATCAGGACTACAGGCTCAACCTGCATCAGTACACCTCGTTTGCTGACGACATGAAGGTGGAGGCGGCCAAGAAAGCGTACGCTCTACAGAGCGAGGTGAGACAGAAAAAAACTATTATTTTTTGAAGTTGCAACATTAATTAAACTAATGTTTGATTAATTTGGATAGCACAAATATATTTTTTACAATACTTACAGTATTTCACTTTGATTAAAGTGTTGCAGACTTAGCCTTCGTCTTGTTTATTCCTGAAACATTTTAGGAGCAATAACTTTATTTTCATTTGTGTGTGTTTGTCACAGAAAGTGTATCGCTCTGACCTGAACTACCTGCGTGGTGCAGCCTGGATTGCCACCGGGGCTCTGCAGATTGAAGGCTCCAAGAGGGCCACAGACCTCATAAGTGATGTAGGACAACTTCTTTTCAAAACAAGTTATCTTGCCTACATTGGGTCTAGATCTTACAGATCTACAGTATGTAATTGTGAACATATCTTGCGTGCTGATATTCGTAGATATTTTCTTGATATTAACTGTTGAGTTACTTGTTAAGAATACTACAAACACTCACTTTGTTATTTCTTCTGAAACAGAAAAAGTACCGTCAGCAGCCGTACAACTTCAAGCACACCTCTGTCACAGACTCTCCGGATATCGTCCATGCCAAACTCAGTGGACAGATCACAAATGAGGTGGGACATTGAGCTTATTGCTTTAGTTCTGTTCCAGTTGCTGTTGTTTCCTGTTGTTTCAATAGTACACAGCTGTTTTATATTTCTCTCGCAGCGTTTGTACAAAGAGAAAGGGGTGAGTGACCAGCATAACTACACTATAACAGCTGAGAGACCAGAGATCACACAAGCAAAGATCAATGCAGCCAACTTTAGTGAGGTACTACAACTTCCTGTGCACCATACAATATTCCGTGGACTTTTTTTTTCACAATGTGTGTAATTTTAAGGTTAATGATCATTGGTTGTTTGTCACTCTGCTCCAGATCAAGTACAGAGAGTCCTGGAACACTCTGAGGGCTCAGGGCTACAAACTCACCATGCAGGACATCCCCTTCCAGGCTGCCAAGAGCTCCACAGGCATCGCCAGTGACGTAAGAGCAGACGAGACTCAAAAACATGAAGTCAAAAAAGTTGACTAACATATCCACCTAAAGTGCACCACATGCATATACCAAATACCTATAATGCAACCACATACAGCAGCACAACAAAGTACAGCCTTATAAAATGATCATAGAGTTGAATCAACAACCTCTCGGAGTTTAAAAATGTGCATTATAATCTTCATAAAAGTAGGATTCATAACATTAAATTGCAGTAAACTACAGTTATTACCTCTGTGTGTCTGCAGAACAAGTACAAACACAACCACCTGCTGGAAAAAGGGAAGCACATTGGGTCCAAAAGCGTCTCGGACGACCCGCTTCTCCTGCACTGCCAGCAGGCGGGCCGGCTGGCCAGCAACCAGGAGTACCGCAAGGACGCGCTGACATCCAGCGGGCAGTACCACCTCACCCCAGACATGATTCACCTGGTGACGGCTAAGAATGCCCAGGCCCTCGCCAGCGAACAGGACTACAGGAAGAGACTGCATGCGTACACAGTGCTTCCTGATGACATGAAGTGGGCCAAAACGGCTTACGACCTGCAGAGTGAGGTGAGAGTTGTGGATGAGGAAGGGGAAATTACTGATGTGATTCAACTTGACTGACACATTTTATCGCCTGATATCTAGAATCTCTACAAGTCAGACCTCAACTACATGAAAGGAGTGGCCTGGGATGGTGTGGGTGCACCTCAGATGGAGTCGGCTAAGAAGGCTGGAGCACTTATAAGTGATGTGAGTAAATGTGACAAGTGTCTACCATCACATACAGGGCTGTAGCCAGGATTCAGAAAATACAACTATGAGTCCTCCAACACACGCCTCACTGACTTCTTAATATTGTGATCAGACAGAAAAAATATATATACATTTTTTCAGACTGCTGAAACATTTGTTTATTTATTATTTTGTTGAGCTAAATCTTGTCTAATTATAAATCTAACTTTGAATTAAACTCAATGTAAGTTGCTAAATGGCCTTTCCTCTTTAATATTTCTAACATTTTGGTGATATATTTGACTTCTGGAACCCAATTTAACTGAGAATTGTAATGCACTTTACTTTTTCACAGACCATATTGATTTTTTCTAGAAGTTCAAGGAATCTAGCCTACATTACATTTCACTTTAAACATGACCTATTACACGCTCGGAGACTAAGTCTCAGCCATCTGTATTCCCTGCTGTTAAAGTGTGTGTGGTCTTCCTTCATGCAGAAGAAGTATCGTCAGCTGCCAGACAGCCTAAAGTTCACCTCAGTGACTGACTCTCCTGATATTCTCCACGCTAAGGCGAGCTATCAACATTGCAGTGAGGTGGGTTGAAAAGATAATCATACTCACAAAATAATACAAAATCTCCTTCTACCTTTCTGTTGCTTTTACTGTTAACTCCTCAATAATTGTGGGTGTTGTGCGATGAATGTTTATATCACTCTCATGTCTCTACACTACAGAGGCTTTACAAATCTGGAAAGAATGATGACATGCACAAGTACACTTTACACTCGGATGATCCAGACTTCGTCAGAGCCAAGATGAATGCTCAGCAGATTAGTGATGTAAGGCACGCCTCAGATACTTTCTCACAATCCGAAATGCAAGCAAATGATTATAAATCCACATCAAAAGATGCCAGTATGACTTTGTGACGTTTTTATCTTCAAAATTCTTCTACCATGAAGAAAGTTTACAAGGCGTCTGGAGAGCAGGTGAAGACAGCGGGCCATGACCTGAGGCTGGATGCTATTCCCTTCCAAACGGCCAAGGCCTCCAGAGAAATTGCCAGCGATGTGAGTTCATGTGATAATGCAGTTTGTGAAAAGATTTTACTCAATTCAGACTTTCCTGAAGCACATATTAGGATTTATTAGCAGCTCTTACTGTCTATGCACCTTTTTGTTATTTGAAAAGTGCATTATAATGTGATGAAAACACAGTTAATCTTTCATTGTCACCTTCTACTAAGAGCTTTATTTATCTACAGCCATTCTCAAGATTGTATGTGTACAGTTGCCTTTTTTATCGCAGCACAAACATTACTTCAGAGGTTGGAAAGATTAGCTCATGTATTCTGGATGTAGCATAATCAGCATAATCAATATATTAAACTAATTTTAAGGCACATCATTCAGGAGTTGCTCTATGTAATCCCTTATCCATAAAACTAAATTTAGTTACAACTTAAATGATGCCGTAAAAGTGGTATTCAAATTGAAAACTCTATCTTTCTGCCTCCCACAGTTCCGCTACAGGGAGTCTCACCTGAAGGAGAAGGGCCAGCAGGTGGGGCTGCGCTGTGTGGAGGATGACCCTAAGATGGTGCACTCCCTGGCAGCCAGCAAACTCCAGAGCAACCTGGAGTACAAACGCCAGTCCAAGGAGGACCGGGGCCACTACAAAATGCATGCCGATCAGCCCGAGTTCCTGCAGGCCAAAAAGAGTCAGGCTCAGGCTAGTGACCTCACCTACCGCAGCAAGCTCCACGACTACACCTGTGACAACGAGCAACTCAATGTCAAGCATGCCAAGCAGGCCTACAAGCTGCAGAGTGATGTGAGTCACACTCCATGTGTAGAGTTTATTGTAAAACGTTTTTTTTTAAGTGGCTTTGATACAGCCAGTGTCATCATTTAATTCACATTTATTCACTATATATATGAGACACTAAAGATTTCTATTAATCATGCAATTTTATGGAGGAAAACTGCACTGAGGAGAACCGAGACCTCTGCCTCTATGTGGCATTGACTTTATGGTAATTTGATTAATTACAAACTAATTTAGTATTGTTCACCCCTAAAGAAAAATTTGAAACTGAAATGATAAGGTCCCTAAAGTTGCAGTTTTAGCCAATCCTGATGTCCTCATAAAGCAGCCCTGTATCAAAACCTATACGTTAATACCATATAATTCAGAGGATTTTATGCTTACATGGTGCATATCTGTTAAGCATCTACAACCACTCTCAATTTGTGTCCTTTTCGGTGGACAGCCCCAAATGGTGAAAAGACAAAGTGAGCGACTAGCAGATGAACACAGTGGAGCATTTAACAGCTAAATAACCAGATACATGAATGCCCCTCAGGGGTTGGTGGAGAACAAAAGCAGAGATATGAGCAGAGTGAATATAGAACATATTCATCAGGAGGCCAGAAACACACCTCCATGGTGAATGCGAATGTTGCTCGAAATCAAAGGCAAATAGGCAATTGTTTCTTTGCTGTATGCGACAAACTAACTGACGTACAGTAAACCTTGGGCAGTGTAGTATTCATGTGTAGAAATGCTGGTTGGTTTTGGAGATCACTTTAATTTTAAATATCGAGAGGGTCTTGTAGGCCCATTTCAACAAATTTGATTCCTAAAATATCAATGTTGCTTCCTTTTGTTACAGGTGAACTACAAGTCAGACCTGAACTCAACTAGAGGAGTTGGCTGGACCCCTCCCGGCTCCCACAAGGTCGAGCTGGCCCGCCGGGCTGCAGAGCTGGGGCTGGCTGAGGGAGTCACCACTGACGAGGCTATTGCAAATTATCAGCACATGATGATGGTGAGGGAACATGAAATCTAGTAATTTAGTACAAATAAACTTTTTCTATATGGAATAAACAATTCACGTACAATAAAGTGCGCAGGTCCTTTAAAAATGATCCTGTTAACTTTCTCCACGCCCTTCTTTCAGATGCATCGCCAGCAGCAGATGGAGCAGATGGAGCAGCAGCAGCACCAGACTTCACAGCAGGTGGAGACCAGCGAGGAGACTAAACAAGGCGTCAACATGGACGCCATGGAGGTCCTTCACGTCAAGAGGAAAAAGACCATCCAGACCGTCCAGAAAAAGTCCACCAGCACCACCTCATCCTCGTTTAAATCCATGGAGAAGAAATCCAGCACCACCTCCTCCTCCTCCTCCTCATCGGCTGCCCTCCAGAACACAGTGAAGACATCTATGTCTAGTAAAGCTGCTGCGATAAAAGAAGAGTGAGTAAACTCAGATGAGTTTTTATAGACGATAGTGTTTAGAGATGGCCACTTTCAGAAAGTGTGGCTAACTTTACAAGTGGTATTTGTGGTATCTACTTTGACGAAATGACTGTTGTGACTCTGTAGTTACATGAGATGCCACATCGATGTGGCATACTACATGAGCTACTGTAGGTGCAATAATGAAGTGTAAAAGGAAGTTGAAATGATTTCTGAGGGTATTACGCATGTTGAATCAGGACAGGACTTGTCAAGTTAAAAGCATTGTCAATGTATGTGGTGAGCAAAAAAGGAATTCAGAAAGAAACTTTATTTGTCAGATTGAAAGCAAGTTATTTTTTGTCATTTTTTAAAAACATAAATGGTTTTAAATTACCTCTAAAGAACCATGTTCAACACCAGTTCAAGGAAAACATCAAGAATACCAAAACAGATTTGGGTGTTTTCAGGACAAAAGTGATGCTGTGTGAAATATGAAAGTTTGAATTCTGTACATCAAATGTGTTTAGAAGATATTTAGCTGGGCTAGCTGTATTGCCAGCACTGCAGAGGATTTTTTTCATCATTTTTTATTTAATCTTTAGAGATGAACACAGGCTGCGAGTTGAAAGGAACAAGGCGCAAACCCTGTTGCAGCCTTGCAAAACATGCAGTTTTCTTCCGAGGTCTGCTAATCTAGTGCACTTTGAGCTAGGCTCAGTGAGAAATAAGTAAAGGCCTCCTGAAATGATGTGTGATCTACATTTTGTCTGGCAGGTTCAGCTTTTTGAGTTTGTATCGATGCCCCTTTTTAACTCAAAGCTGGGCTGTGAGTAAATATTTGGTTTTATTGCTGATAAAATAAACTTTTCAAGGCAAACTGAGCTTTAGTCTGTTTTTTCCTCCCGAAATAAACAATACATTTCAGGGCAAACCGCACAGTTATTACTGAACTAATGTAGTTCAGTTGATCTTGCTTTTGATCCAGCTGGTAAACGCATGGACTTTGGCGTAGACCCCAGGCTTGTCCCTCTCAGCGCATGCAGACACCCCAGCTCACCACACCGGTGATATAGTGTGTGCCATTTTGCTCACACATCAAGGGTCCACCTGAGTCTCCCTGTAGAGTTTAAAAAAAGGCAAGTTAACAATATAATATTATCTGTAGGGGCTTCTGAGGAAAGAAATAATGCATCGTACACGTGTGTATGACTGATGCCAAAAAAGGGATGTCTACAACATATAATCTTTAAGTTTGTATCATGTTTCCTTTCTTTAATACAAATGATGAATTTAATATCAATAGCTTTGAAAACAGCCATGTGAATGTATGAACAGCCCTTGCATGCATATTCTTCACATTCATAAACATACACACCTGACAAGAGTCAATACCCCCTTGTAAAGTCCCTGCACAGAACATGTTGCTGTCCAGGACATTTCCGTAGACCTGAGGAGTTTTCCATCGCTCATCAGAGATCATGAAAACACGTGCGTTCATCAGCTGGCTGCTGTACCTCTCTGAAAAGTGGAGTTCAAAGAGCGAGAAACTGACACAAAAGAAGTAATTTTGACATGTGACAGTAGGAAGAGCAAAGGTGTAACTAACAGACTATAATGATGGCTGAATTCC